CCCACCTGATCCACCGCTGTATCCAGAGGAAAGAGTCCCTGTTCCACAGGCATCTACACCCACCCATCCTTAAAGGGGGCCTCTGGCTGTCTGGATCCTTTACCACCCAAGTGCTCCTGAGACACCACCAGTATCCAGAGGGAGGATTATCCATGGCTTGGCTACATCCGATTCATAAAGGGGACCTCCGCTGTTTGATTTAATGTGTATAGACATTACGCATCTGGTGAGTGCGTATTCTTACTTCAGTGATGGTGCTCCAAATCAGTGGGGTATTATTGCTGCTATTGCACTGAAACCTGCACTGTCACTTGCGGATTATTACAACCTCCAGTCGGAGTTCGACATATGTTCATTTATCTGGACTTTTTATTATTTTTTATCATATACAGTGGTGTTCAAAATACTAGCCGTCAGACATCACTAACCGGATCAATCACTGTTTTTGGTGGAAATGATATTTCTACATGGCAAATAATTTCCTAGCAGGTGTAGTAGAGTCATAGAAATCCAACAGACCCAACAGTCATGACATGCATGCTGCTGATTCTGTGTCATTGAATCACTCATTGAAAGGGGCGTGTGTTCACAATAATAGCAGTGTGGAGTTCTATTAGTGAGGTCATTCATTCTTTGATAAACAGGTGGTAATTATTGCCCTTATTTAAGGAAGGAAGGCAGCAAATGTTGGACATGCTGGTTACAGTGCATTTCTCTCTGACATTCTGAGGAAAATGGGTCGTTCCAGACATTGTTCAGAAGAACAGCGTACCTTGATTAAACAGTGGATTGCAGAGAGGGGAAAACATATAAAGAAGTGCAGAAAATGATCGGCTGCTCAGCTAAAATGATGGCAAATGCTTTAAAATGGCAACAAAACTGAAAGACGCGGAAGAAAGCGAAAAACTACCATTGGAATGGATAGAAGAATAGCCAACATGGGGCGGACTCAGCCAACAATCAGCTCCAGGAAGATGAAAGAAGGTGTGACGTTCCCTGTGAGGACTCAGCCAACAATCAGCTCCAGGAAGATGAAAGAAGGTGTGACGTTCCCTGTAAGGACTGTTACAATTAGAAGATGTCGATGTGAAGCCAAGCTATCTGCAAGAAGTCCCCGCAAAGTCCCACTGTTGGAGAAAAAGACGTGTGCTGAAGAGGTTACAATCTGCCAAAGAGCACATTGACTGGCCTAAAGAGAAATGGCGCAACATTTTTGTGGACTGATGAAAGTAAGATTGTTCTTTTTGGGTCTAGTGGGCGGAGACAGTTTGTCAGACGACCCCAAACACAGAATTCAAGCCACAGTACACTGTGAAGCATGGTGGTGCAAGCATCATGATATGGGGACGTTTCTCATACTACGGTGTTGGGCCTATTTATCGCATACCAGGGATCATGGATCAGTTTGAATCCATCAGAATACTTGAAGAGGTCATGCTGCGTTATGCTGAAGAGGAAATGCCCTTGAAATGGGGGTTCCAACAAGACAACGACCCCAAACACATCAGTAAACGTGCAACATCTTGGTTCCAGACCAACAAGATGGACGTTATGGAGTGGCCAGCCCAATCCCCGGATCTTCATCCAATAGAAAACTTGTGGGGTGACATCAAAAATGCCGTTTCTGAGGCAAAACCAAGAAATCGAGAAGAACTGTGGAATGTGGTCCAATCATCCTGGGCTGGAATACCTGATCACAGGGGCCAGAAGTTGGGGGACTCCATGCAACACAGATGTACAGCAGTTCTCAGAAACAGTGCGACTACAACCAAATATTCATGAAGTCATTCAAAGGAAAGCAAAATCTTCAAACATTTCTCAGTTTATATAGTGAATGTTGGAGTTTGTAAAGAAGAATACAAACACGGCCATTTTTTTGAACCGTCTAATATTCACTTTTCTTCCATTTTTTTAGAGGAACAACACAAATTTGATGTACCGTATTTTTCGCTCCATAAGACGCACTTTTTTCCCCCCAAAAAAGGGGGGGAAATGTCAGTGCGTCTTATAAGCGAATATAAAGCGGCCGGTCCAGTATTTCTGCAGCCACCATGTCAGAATACCGGGCCGGCCACTCAGCTGTTGTCTCCTGCAGGGCCTTACCTGTTCCTCGCTCCAGCGCTGCAGTCTTCCCGCGCCGGCTTCTGTGACAGCCGGGTGCCCACTGCGCATGTGCTGCGCTTTGTGAATGATCCGGTGTCTTCTGGGACACATGACAGGTCCCAGAAGGCGCCGGGCCATTCACAAAGCGCAGCGCTTCTCGCGCATGCGCAGTGGGCACCCGGCTGTCACAGAAGCCGGCCCGGGAAGAAGAGAGAAGGACAACTCCGCGGAAGTGGGAGCGGGTACCTGTCAAATTCAGTTACCCGCTCCCCCCTCCCTCCCCAAAGGTCAGCAGTCTCTGGTCATTCCCTGCACTGTCTGCAGTCTCTGGTCATCCCCTGTACTGTCTGCAGTCTCTGGTCATCTCCTGTACGTGTCCGCAGTCTCTGGTCATCCCCTGCACCGTGTCCGCAGTCTCCGGTCATCCCCTGCACCGTGTCCGCAGTCTCCGGTCATCCCCTGCACCGTGTCCGCAGTCTCCGGTCATCCCTGCACCGTGTCCCAGTCTCCGTCATCCCCTGCACCGTGTCTCCGGTCATCCCCTGCACCGTGTCCGCAGTCTCCGGTCATCCCCTGCACCGTGTCCGCAGTCTCCGGTCCCCTGCACCGTGTCCGTCAGTCCCGGTCTCCCCTGCACCGTGTCCGCAGTCTCCGGTCATCCCCTGCACCGTGTCCGCAGTCTCCGGTCATCCCCTGCACCGTGTCCGCAGTCTCCGGTCATCCCCTGCACCGTGTCCGCAGTCTCCGGTCATCCCCTGCACCGTGTCCGCAGTCTCCGTCATCCCCCTGCACCGTGTCCGCAGTCTCCGGTCATCCCCTGCACCGTGTCCGCAGTCTCTGGTCATCCCCTGTACCGTGTCCTGCAGTCTCTGGTCATCCCCTGCACCGTGTCTGCAGTCTCCGGTCATCCCTGTACCGTGTCTGCAGTCTTGGTCATCCCCTGCACCGTGTCTGCAGTCTCTGGTCATCCCCTGCACCGTGTCTGCAGTCTCTGGTCATCCCCTGCACCGTGTCAGTCTCCGGTCATCTCCACCGTGTCCGCAGTCTCTGGTCATCCCCTGTACTGTGTCCGCAGTCGGTCATCCCCTGGTCATCTCCTGTACTGTGTCCGCAGTCTCTGGTCATCCCCTGTACTGTGTCTGCAGTCCATTGGTTCAGAATATTTTTTTTTCTTGTTTTTCGCCTCTAAAACCTAGGCGCGTCTTATGAAGCGAAAAATACGGTATTTTTCTTCATGTTGTGATTTGGAATAGAATGTGTCGTGTTCCCAATGCATTTGTGTGGATGGAAATAAAAGCTATTAGAAGGATTTTCAGCTTTTATTCACTTTTTTCACACACTGCTATTATTTTGAACACAACTGTATATTCTTAGCGCTGCACTTATTTATTGTAATGATCCATTATGGTGGCTTGGGGGGGGGGGGGGGGGGGGGGGTGCCGCTCATCCCTCCTCCACTGAATAAGCCACAAGGACAGTTTATTTCTGGGCACCACGTGCACCTCCGGGACACGGGCAGATCTGATGCTGGCACAAAGTAGTCTCTCTGTACTCTCTGATCAGCCATTACTCATTTCCTTTTTAAATAATTGTATTCCGGTTTATCAGCTGCCGTGATTTATGCTTTTCTATGAGTGTGCCAGAGCTTTATTAAATGTTCCAATCTATCGTGTCCTGCAGTGGCTCTTGCAGCGCGCGGCGGGCTCCCGCAGCCCCTCTGGAGTCGCTCCCTCTCCCTCCATGACATTTATCTTTATCAGGCATCAGATCGAGATTTGCGGCCCGGCGTCTTCTGCATTTACTTAGCTTTGGAGAAGGAATTAATTCCCGGCTCGGAGACAACGGCGAGAGGCCCTAAAAATTGTCACTTTGAATAAATCACGGGCAAAAGGTAGAAGGAAGAAGAGAGCGCCGAGATCACGCCGGACTGAAAATGAAGGTTATTAAAGCATCCTGACAGTTAAGGTTGTAATGTTTGTGTTTTATAGTTCCGCGCTTTACTGTGCGAGGGATGGAACGCCCCCCAGCCCCCACCCCCACCCCACCGCAACACGGCTTCCTCCGCCGCCGACCACATCTCCGGGTCCTTCACACCACCCGCACCCGCTCTACTTCCTCCTCTCTATCACATTAGAGCTCCACCTAAAGATGCACCTCCCTTTTTATCAACTAGAATTGGTATATTCGATCCAACTGCTGGTGTGTCGCTCATGCCGGGGCCGGCTACTGACCACAGTAGAGTCATTGTTTTCACTTTCGGTGGTTTCCAAACTGTGGCCCTTTGCTTGCCTTTATTCCTTTGTTGGGGAACTATTGACAGCAACATTGGGGCACTATTCCTCCCACCGACACCAATTATGGGGAGCTATTCCTTTCACTGACACCAATGATGAGGCACTATTTCCCCCACTGCCACCAATAATGGGGTATTGTTAGTCTCATTGACACCAATGATGGGGCACTATTCCTTCCACTGACAATGGGGAACTATTCCTCCCACCGGCACCAACAATGTGGCACTATTTCCCCCACTGACACCAATAATGGGTCATTGTTAGTCTCAGTTACACCAATGATGGGGCACCATTCCTTCCACTGACAACAATGGGGCACTATTACTCCCACTGATACAACAATAGGGCACTATTCCTCCCACTGACACCAAACAATGGGACATTATTTCCCCTACTGACACCAATAATGGGGCATTGTTATTCTCAATGACACCAATGATGGGGCACTATTCCTTCCACTGACAACAATGGGGCACTATTCCTCCTACTGGTACCAACAATGACGCACTATTCCTCCCACCAACACCAACGATGGGGCACTATTTCTCCCACTGACACCAATAATGGGGAATTGTTAGCCTCACTGATGCCAGTGATGGGGCACTATTCCTCCCACTGACACCAATGATGGGGCACTATTCCTCCCACTGACACCACTGATGGGGCACTATTCCTCCCGCTGATACCAATGATGAGGCACTATTCCTTCCGCTGACACCAATGATGGGGCACTATTCCTCCCACTGACACCAATGATGGGGCTCTGTTCCTCCCAATGACACCACTGATGGGGCACTATATTCCTCCCGCTGATACCAATGATGAGGCACTATTCCTTCCGCTGACCCCAATGATGGGGCACTATTCCTTCCGCTGACCCCAATGATGGGGCACTATTCCTCCCGCTGACACCAATGATGGGGCACTATTTCCTCCCGCTGACACCAACGATGGGGCACTATTCCTCCCGCTGACACCAACGATGGGGCACTATTCCTCCCTCTGACACCAACGATGGGGCACTATTCCTCCCGCTGACACCAAACGATGGGGCACTATTACAAGATTTTTGCCCATGACTGTATATGGAGGGGAGAGTACATTTGTGGTTGCACGTGTATCATCGTTTGTATAATTTTTGGTATGTATAGGTTGTATTTTCATAAGTAAATATTGGTTCATCTAGCGCTGCTATAATTGTATGAATAATATATTTACACACTATTCCCGGGAATAGCTGCAGCTTGACATAGTTATTTTATTAATTGTTTCCACTTTTATATATTTTCTATGACGAGGGTTTAATGTTGTCTTACATATTTATATCCAAGCTATAAGCCTCGGTCTTTGCAAACCAACATTGATCCGCAGGACGGTATCGGGATTCCACCTGTGTTCCAGCGGCATTGTTCAGACGCCTCCATTGCCCGGAATATTCTCTGGAAGTGTCATTTATTATGCACAGAAAAATGTGACATATCTGTGATAACGCACCGACGAGCCCAACATAGCAGAGTTGCACTATTCATCGTTTTTAAAACTTTGATAATACCAGAAAATAAATTGTCTAATAAATATTGGTTCATGTTGGTGTTCTACTTGTCAGGATGCAAAAATGTCCGAGATGAAGGAGGATTCGCCGGAAGAGGTAGAATTGTCTTGCAAACAAAAATTGCTACATGGACTCTAATTCCACTTCATGCGGATGCCAGATTTTCATTGACGAGGGATTATGCCAGATGGCCTTCGTTGCCGATTTATATGCCAGACCCGGCCTTCCGTTGCCGACTATGCCAGACCCGGCCTTCCGTTGCCGACTATGCCAGACCCGGTATCCGGGACTATGCCACCTGTGCCTTCCGTTGCGGATTTATGCCAGACGTCTTCCATTGCCCGACTATGCTCAGACCCGTGTCCTTTATTATGCCACATCCCAAACCCGGCACTATCATTGCGGACTAACCCAGACCGGCCCAAACTATAGCAGACCCGGCCTACTTCATTTATGCCAAAACCTTGATACTACCGACTATGCCAAACCCGGCCTTACTAAATATGCCAGTGTTGGTGTTCTACTTGTCAGGATGCCAAACCCGGTCCAAGACTATGCCAGACCCGGCCTTCCACTGCCGAAGAGGTAGACCCGGTCACTGCGACTATGCCAAAATTGCCTTTCACATGCCGACTCTAATGCCAGACCCGGCCTTCATTGCGATGCCAGACCGGCCTTCCATTGCGGATTATGCCAGACCCGGCCTTCCATTGCGGATTATCCTAGACCGGCCTTCCATTGCGGACTATCCTAGACCCGGCCTTCCGTTGCGGACTATGCCAGACCCGGCCTTCCGTTGCGGACGATGCCAGACCCGGCCTTCCGTTGCGGACGATGCCAGACCCGGCCTTCCGTTGCGGACGATGCCAGACCCGGCCTTTTACTGCGTTGACGGACTATGCTAGACCCTGGCCTTCACTGCCGACTATGCCAGACCCGGCCTTCCCACTGCCGACTATGCCAGACCCGGCCTTCCCTGCGGACTATGCCAGACCCGGCCTTCACTGCGGACTATGCCAGACCCGGCCTTCACTGCGGACTATGCCAGACCCTTCCATTGCGGATTATGTTGGCCAAGACTATGCCATAGTCTGCAGAGATAGATCGGCGATATTTTGGGTGTTCATTTGCTATTTTCCATCATGGTATAGAAGACTCCCTCTGGAATTACAAGGGGCATTCAATTCAAACCGGGACTTTTAGGAAGTTTAGGCATTCTCATGTTTATTTCTTTTGTTTGTATCGGTGACACAAAAATATGGAGAAAAAAAAAGCCAAATCTGACACATTCCATCCAAAACCCCCACAAAATGGACTGGGCAAAATCATCTTGTCAGGATGCAAAAATGTCCAAGATGAAGGAGGATTCGCCGGAAGAGGTAGAATTGTCTTGCAAACAAAAATCGCTACATGGACTCTAATTCCACCTTCATGCAGATGCTAGACCTGGCCTTCCATTGCGGACTATGCTAGACCTGGCCTTCCATTGCGGACTATGCTAGACCTGGCCTTCCATTGCGGACTATGCTAGACCTGGCCTTCCATTGCGGACTATGCTAGACCTGGCCTTCCATTGCGGATTATGCTAGACCTGGCCTTCCATTGCGGACTATGCTAGACCTGGCCTTCCATTGCGGATTATGCTAGACCTGGCCTTCCGTTGCGGATTATGCTAGACCTGGCCTTCCGTTGCGGATTATGGTAGACCTGGCCTTCCATTGCGGATTATGCTAGACCTGGCCTTCCATTGCGGATTATGTGGTGGACCAAGAGCCATCATAGTCTGCAGAGGAAGATCTATCGGCGAGGTGGCCTGGAGAATGAAGAGGAACCGATATTTTGGGTGTTCATTTGCTATTTTTCAGCAAGGTATAGAACAGGGGTAGGCAACCTGTGGCTCTCTAGTTGTTGTGGAACTACATTTCCCATGAGACATTGCAAAATTGACAGTTACAGCTATGACTTGCAGAGGCATGATGGAACTTGTAGTCCTGCAACAGCTGGAGAGCCGCACGTTGCCTACCCCTGGTATAGAAGACTCCCTCTGGAATTACAAGGGATGTTCAAGTCAAACCGGGACTTTTAGGAAGTTTCGGCATTCTCATGTTTATTTCTTTTGTTTGTATTGGTATGACACAAAAATGTGGAGAAACAAAAAGCCAAATCTGACACATTCCATCCAAAACTTCCATAAATGGGCTGGACAAAATTATTGGCACCCTCAATTTAATATTTGGTAGCACACCCCTTGGAAAAAATAACTGAAATCAATGGCTTCCTGTAACCATCTATTGGTTTCTTCCACCTCTCTACTGGAATTTTGGAGCAAAATTATTGGCACCCTCAATTTAATTGGAAAGAATAATTGAAGTCAATCACTTCCTGTAACCCATCAATGCGTTTGCCCATATTTTTGGCCATGACTGTAGCCATAAAATATCCTTGCCAATAAAATGGCGGTGAACTTGACAGTCAAGGTGAATCAATATTCGTATAAAATGTCTTATAATCCATATTTATGGTTCTATTATTAGACTCGGCTGTCTCAGTATAATATAACCATTAAAGTGTAATAAGAGAACCATTTGCTGGACATCAATATGGACCACATGGATGGTCTTGCACAGCCCGTGTCCACAAAAACTGTGCGGAAGGAACTAAGTAAAACATTCATGGGTGAGCCGCAACTGCCAAAAAAATAAAAAATTTAAAGTGCCCCCGTTCCCCTTTGCTCACATCTAGACGCCCCTTAAAACTCACCCCAGAAATTAGAGTCCTTCCCGCCATTTTCTAGGTACAATGGTTTCTTCCAACAACCTGTACAGGTTCCTCAATACATTAAGCCCTCGTGCACACTTGACGTATTTACTGCGGCTGTCTTTGGCATTTGCCATTTTTCTCTACAGCCAATAAACTTCCCAGCATGTTATCCAATGTGTCCACGCACGCATAGGCTGTAATCAACGTTTTTTGGCTGGGACATTTTTTGGCTGGAAAAAAAAAAACCCAAAACCAGTTGGTTTCGAGAGGAGTTTTTTAGCTGTAAATACGCTCTAACTCTGAAAAACGTGGTGAAACGCTGTGAACTGACGTTGTGGTGGAACCGTTCCGCCTGGGCTTCCTGGTGCGTCTCAGCCAATGGTCCCCTTGTCCTGCAAGTCTTTCAGTGCTCTGCCAAGGCAGGTATTAGAGCTCAAAACCAATCCTTCCCTGCTATCCCAAACCACGAGTCGGAACTTCGTTGTAGGGTGAAATGAATCAATCTTTATTTAACACAGCTCAGTATATACAGCTTCACCCCCACCCGACAGCCGGCACCGGGTTTTCCCCACCCACAACAAAACCCTACAACCAACAATACAGTATGAACTCTATAGAAGGGAAAGGCTACAAGGTCACATTTCCCTAAGCGAACAGTATAGAATGTCTGTCTACATACCAGCGCTTTACCACGGGGAGAAACTGAAACAGAAAGGGCAAAATGTTATCACAAAGGGACGGTTTGTCACAGACGTTTTTGGACTTTTTTTGACCAAAATCAAAATTTGTTTTTTTTTTTTGGTAAAAAAAAAGCTAAAAAGAACAAATGTGGAAAAACGCAGAAAAAAATGCTAATGCAAAATGCTAAAAAAACTCAGGTTTTTAACGCGACTTATCACAGCTAACGTTACCAGCAAGATCAACGTTACCAACCTGACCATATCGCTATCCCATAAATAAATGAACTACGGTATCTAATGTGCCAAAACTAACAAACAAACAAATTTAACCCTCTAGCATACAGGTCTATCTTTCACCCTTGAAAGTGTAAAATTCTCAATACCACCCCAATATTATCAAAACATACTTTAATATAAAATACAAAATGTGAAATCGGTATAATTGACAAAAACCACAAATGAAATAAATATATATATAACAAAAAAAAATTATATACAAAACAAAAATAATAAAATTATTATTGGGACATTGTTAGTCTCACTGATGCCAATGATGGGGCACCATTCCTTCCACTGACACCAATGATGGGGCACTATTCCTCCCACTGACACCAATGATGGGGCACTATTCCTCCCACTGACACCAATGATGGGGCACAATTCCTCCCACTGACACCAATGATGGGGCACTATTCCTCCCACTGACACCAATGATGGGGCACTATTCCTCCCACTGACACCAATGATGGGGCACCATTCCTTCCACTGACACCAATGATGGGGCACCATTCCTCCCACTGACACCAATGATGGGGCACCATTCCTTCCACTGACACCAATGATGGGGCACCATTCCTCCGACTGACACCAATGATGAGGCACCATTCCTCCCACTGACACCAATGATGGGGCACCATTCCTCCCACTGACACCAATGATGGGGCACCATTCCTCCCACTGACACCAATGATGAGGCACCATTCCTCCCACTGACACCAATGATGGGGCACCATTCCTCCCACTGACACCAATGATGGGGCACCATTCCTCCCACTGACACCAATGATGGGGCACCATTCCTTCCACTGACACCAATGATGGGGCACCATTCCTCCCACCGATACCAATGATGGGGCACCATTCCTCCCACCAACACCAATGATGGGGCACTATTCCTCCCACCGACACCAATGATGGGGCACTATTCCTCTCACCGATACCAACGATGAGGCACTATTCCCTCCACTGACCCCCACGATGGAGCACTATTCCTCCCACTGACACCAATGATGGGGCACTATTCCTCCTACTGACACCAATGATGGGGCACTATTCCTCCTACTGATATCAATGATGGGGCACTATTCCTCCCACTGACACCAATGATGGGGCACTATTCCTCCTACTGATATCAATTATGGGGCACTATTCCTCCCACTGACACCAATGATGGGCACTATTCCTCCCACTGACACCAATGATGGGGCACTATTCCCTCCAGTGACACCAATGATGAGGCAATATTCCTCCTACTGATACCAATGATGGGGCACTATTCCTCCCACTGATACCAATGATGGGGCACTATTTCCTCCTACTGATACCAATGATGAGGCACTATTCCTCCACTGACACCAATGATGGGGCACTATTCTTCCCAATGATACCAATGATGGGGCACTATTCCTCCCCACTGACACCAATGATGGGGCACTATTCCTCCCACTGACACCAATGATGAGGCAGTATTCCTCCTACTGATACCAATGATGGGGCACTATTCCTCCTACTGATATCAATGATGGGGCACTATTCCCCCCACTGACACCAATGATGGGGCACTATTCCTCCCACTGACACCAATGATGGGGCACTATTCCCCCCACTGATACCAATGATGGGGCACTATTCCTCCCACTGACACCAATGATGGGGCACAATTCCTCCCACTGATACCAATGATGGGGCACTATTCCTCCCACTGACACCAATGATGGGGCACTATTCCTTCCACCGACACCAATGATGAGGCACTATTCCTCCCACTGATACCAACGATGGGGCACCATTCCTTCCACCGACACCAACGATGGGGCACCATTCCTCCCACTGACACCAATGATGGGGCACAATTCCTCCAACTGACATCAATGATGGGGCACTATTCCTCCCACTGACACCAATGATGGGGCACTATTCCTTCCACCGACACCAATGATGAGGCACTATTCCTCCCACTGATACCAACGATGGGGCACCATTCCTTCCACCGACACCAACGATGGGGCACCATTCCTCCCACCGACACCAACGATGGGGTGATATTCCTCCAACTGACATCAATAATGGGGCATTGCTAGCCTCACTGATGCCAGTGATGGGGCACTGATCATTCCACTGACACAAATGATCGGGCACTATTCCTCCCACTGATCGACACTAGCGATTATTATTTATTATTTTTGGACACGAGTATATAAAAAAAAATAATTATAATTATTTATTTTTTTTGTATATCATTTTTTTTTTTTTTTTTAATATTTATTTATTTTATTTGTGGTTTTTGTCAATTATACGGATTTTTGTATTTTATATTATAGTATGTTTTGAGCATATTGGGGTGGTATTGAGGATATCGCTATCCCGCTGACCTCCTCGTATCACAAACTCATCGCTATCCATATCTCCGCATCACAGCGGCCACCAACACATCAAAGGCTTTGCTCTACTACTGGAATGTATCTGCATAAAGTTTAGGCATTCCGTAGAACAGACAAGTTTATAAGAAGGTGTAGAAGTAATAGTCGGGAAAACATATCAGACAGATTAAAAAAAAAATAATTATATATATATATATATATATACAGATAATAAAGGTGTAAAGTAATAGTCAGGAAAACATAGACAGATAAAAAAAAAAAATATATATATACATATAATAAAGGTGTAAAAGTAATAGTCGGGAAAACATAGACAGATTAAAAATAAAAATAAATAAATAAATAATATATATATATATATATATATATAATATCTATATATATATATATATATATATATAATAATCTGTCTGATATGTTTTCCCGACTATTACTTTTACACCTTTAAATAAAAAAAAATATATATATACATATAATAAAGATGTAAAAGTAATAGTCGGGAAAACATATCAGACAGATTATTATATATATATATCTATTTTTTTTATTTTTAATCTGTCTGATATGTTTTCCCGACTATTACTTTTACACCTTTATTATATGTATATATATATTTTTTTATTTAAAGGTGTCTGAAATGTTAGTCGGGACATATTACTTTTACATCTTTATTATATATATATATATATATATATATATATATTTATATTTTTTTTTAATCTGTCTAAAGTTTTCCCGAAAACATATCAGACAGATTAAAAAAAAAAAAAAAAAAAATTATATGTATATATATATTTTTTTATTTAAAGGTGTAATAGTCGGGAAAACATATCAGACAGATTAAAAAAAATATATATATATATATATATAAAGATGTAAAAGTAATAGTTGGGGAAAATATATATCAGACATATATATAAATAAAAAATCTGTCTATATTCCCGACTATACTTTTACACCTTTAAAGGTATATATATATATTTTTTTAATCTGTCGGGATAACATATCAGACTATTACTTTTAAAAATTAAAAAATATATATATATATATATATTTATTTATTTATATAATCTGTCTGATATGTTTTTCCCGACTATTACTTCTACACTTTTTATCTGTATATATATATTATTTTTTTTTTAATATGTCTGATATGTTTTCCTGACTATTACTTTTACACCTTTTATATATATATATATATATATTTTTTTTTTTTTAAAGGTGTAAAAGTAATAGTCGGGAAAACATATCAGACAGATTAAAAAAAAAAAAAAAAAATAAAAAAAAAAAGTGAAGCAAACTGCAAACTGCATCTCATTTTCTTCAGTAGGTGGAAAAGTGTGAAAACGGCTATAAATACTCATCCCAGAGGCAGATTATATATTTATTTACCGCATTATTTTTTTTTTTTAAAGCGCCCTCCACCGGAGCCGTTGACGAAGGGCTCCCGGCCAATAAAACAAGCCCGGTCAAGCTGTCTGCGGGTCTCCCCGTCTGCATAATGGAGGCCCATAACTCAGGCCCAGCCTGCCGTTTTTTCATTATATCACAAATCACGCCGCATAATCGTTGGAGAGGCCGTGGAAATGAATTTGGGATGTCATCTGCCATGTAATGATAAAGCCAAAGGCCTTGAATTATGGATCTCAATTACAGTACAGGAGCACTTCATTACGACGTGGCAACTCCCACTGCCGCGCTTGCTCGCCACCCCAAACGCCGACACACATCTGTTTTTTTTTTTTTTTTTTTTCTCCACGAATACCGAAGACAAATTCTCATCAGACGATGAGGAATAAGGTGGGGGACGGAATGAGTCACCGAACCATAATCGGTCATTTCTATACTTTCGCACCAATTACGGTGATATATGATGTTACTTAAAAGCCGCCATGGCAGCCGTCCAGCCGCATTTAGCTAATGAAACACGCAGCCGGGCATTTAACCCCCATCTCCGCCGGAAGTCAACCGGCGAGGTCCGACGTCGCAACCCAATGGCGGAACCAAAGGGGTTAAACCCAGCGCACTAATGGATTCCAAATTAAGTTTGTATTTTTTTTTTCTTCTTTTTTTTCCCTTTTTAGTAGAGGAACGCATTTCCGCCTGGCATTTTCCAATAGAATTATACTTTGCAGAGGCACTTATGTTAAACCTTTTATAGATTCCCTTTTAAACGATGACCTTTCGTGATTTCCCAAACCGCGGAAGCCGCTTGCTTACCATGGTGGAGACTTTACTTCTGTGGCTGAGTGATCTTTCTGGCCGATCTGAGACTTCTAATGTGAATCCGGGACGGAGCACATCAGGACAAGACGGGAGAAGTGATGGACGTGTTCACTCGCATCAACAGTTTTTATGTAGGAATGGCGTACGTTTTTTATCAGACTGACTTGCCAAGTCACAAAGCAACGAGTTCTATTTCTGTAGGCCTGCTTTAAAGTAAAATGTTGGCCAGTGTAACGGAACCGACCCAGACTGAGCTTGAGTACTTCCGTTAGAATACCGGTTCCCCTCCTTAAACCGACAACAGACACCACAGCCGACCATACATGACTAGACGGCACCAGTCTTGAAGTAAACCAGGAAATAGACCTTCAAATTTGAGGTCCCCATCACATCAGAAGTCTCCCCTTCAAATTAGCGTTCCCCCCATCACATTAGAGATCCCCATTACATCAGAGGTCCCCATTACATCAGAGGTTCTTCATTAAATCAGAAGTCTCCCTTTCAAATTGGAGTTCCCCCCATCACATTAGAGGTCCCCATTACATCAGAGGTCCCCATTACATCAGAGGCTCCCCATTAAATCAGAAGTCTCCCCTTCAAATTAGAGTTCCCCATCACATCAGAGGTCCCCATTACATCAGAGGCTCCCCATTAAATCAGAAGTCTCCCTTTCAAATTGGAGTTCCCCCCATCACATTAGAGGTCCCCATTACATCAGAGGTCCCCATTACATCAGAGGTTCTTCATTAAATCAGAAGTCTCCCTTTCAAATTGGAGTTCCCCCCCATCACATTAGAGGTCCCCATTACATCAGAGGTTCCCCATTACATCAGAGGTTCCCCATTAAATCAGAAGTCTCCCCTTCAAATTAGAGTTCCCCATCCATCAGAGGTCCCCATTACATCAGAGGCTCCCGATTAAATCAGAAGTCTCCCTTTCAAATTGGAGTTCCCCCCATCACATTAGAGGTCCCCATTACATCAAAGGTCCCCATTACATCAGAGGTCCCCATTACATCAGAGGTTCCCCATTAACTCAGAAGTCTCCCCTTCAAATTGGAGTTCCCCCCATCACATTAGAGGTCCCCATCACATTAGAGGTCCCCTTTACATCGGAGGTCCCCATTACATCAAAGGTCCCCATTACATCAGAGGGTCCCCATTACATCAGAGGTCCCCCGTTAAATTAGAAGTCTCCCCTTCAAATTAGAGTTCCCCCCATCACATTAGAGGTCCCCATTACATCAGAGGTCCCCATTACATCAGAGGTTCCCCATTAAATCAGAAGTCTCCCCTTCAAATTGGAGTTCCTATTTTATAGGAATGGCGTACGTTTTTTATCAGACTGACTTGCCAAGTCACAAAGCAACGAGTTCTATTTCTGTAGGCCTGCTTTAAAGTAAAATGTTGGCCAGTGTAACGGAATCGACCCAGACTGAGCTCGAGTACTTCCGTTAGAATACCGGTTCCCCTCCTTAAACCGACAACAGACACCACAGCCGACCATACAAGACTAGACGACACCACTTGAAGTAAACCAGGAAATAGACCTTCAAATTTGAGGTCCCCATCACATCAGAAGTCTCCCCTTCAAATTAGAGTTCCCCCCATCACATTAGAGGTCCCCCATCACATCAGAGGTCCCCATTACATCAGAGGTTCTTCATTAAATCAGAAGTCTCCCTTTCAAATTGGAGTTCCCCCCATCACATCAGAGGTCCCCATTACATCATAGGTTCCCCATTAAATCAGAAGTCTCCCCTTCAAATTAGAGTTCCCCCCATCACATTAGAGATCCCCATCACATCAGAGGTCCCCATTACATCAGAGGTTCTTCATTAAATCAGAAGTCTCTCCCTTTCAAATTGGAGTTCCCCCCATCACATTAGAGGTCCCCATTACATCAGAGGTCCCCATTACATCAGAGGTTCCCCATTACATCAGAGGTTCCCCATTAAATCAGAAGTCTCCCCTTCAAATTAGAGTTCCCCATCACATCAGAGGTCCCCATTACATCAGAGGCTCCCCATTAAATCAGAAGTCTCCCTTTCAAATTGGAGTTCCCCCCATCACATTAGAGGTCCCCATTACATCAAAGGTCCCCATTACATCAGAGGTCCCCATTACATCAGAGGTTCCCCATTAACTCAGAAGTCTCCCCTTCAAATTGGAGTTCCCCCCATCACATTAGAGGTCCCCATCACATTAGAGGTCCCCTTTACATCGGAGGTCCCCATTACATCAAAGGTCCCCATTACATCAGAGGTCCCCATTACATCAGAGGTCCCCCGTTAAATTAGAAGTCTCCCCTTCAAATTAGAGTTCCCCCATCACATTAGAGGTCCCCATTACATTAGAGGTTCCCCATTAAATCAGAAGTCTCCCCTTCAAATTGGAGTTCCTATTTTATAGGAATGGCGTACGTTTTTTATCAGACTGACTTGCCAAGTCACAAAGCAACGAGTTCCATTTCTGTAGGCCTGCTTTAAAGTAAAATGTTGGCCAGTGTAACGGAACCGACCCAGACTGAGCTTGAGTACTTCCGTCAGAATACCGCTTCCCCTCCTTAAACCGACAACAGACACCACAGCCGACCATACAAGACGAGACGGCACCAGTCTTGAAGTAAACCAGGAAATAGACTACTTTATTTTAACACAGATGCAAGATATATACACTCAGGGGACAATCCCCCCTCCCTGCATAATGATGCAGGGCGGGGCAATCTACATTTAGTAACAAGAGACACACAGGTATTCAAACTTCACACCAGCAGACAGTCCCATCAGGAGGGAGAGCTGCGGGAGACACCCCCCCCACTAAGCTAATACACATAAACACATACTTCCAATAATAGTTTGCTCCCAAGCAAGACACACAATAGAACAATGGGATGCAGCCACATGACATTAAACAATCAACAACCCCCCACCCCAATATTAGGACAGATCACCCTGTACCCCTAACAGGCACAGGGGGAGTTAGACATAAGATATGGGGTCTCCCTAATCCTCCAAATTGAGCTGTGTTCCATGGGCCCCCCCCCAAAGTGACTCCCGTCACAGCCAGGCCAATCCTACATATCCTCAACCACCTCACTATCGCCGTACACACACATATATATATATATACACATACATACATACATGGCCTTGTATTGACGTGGTTACAAGGGGATCATGGTTGAGGCTACAACCACGATCTCCATATTATTTTTAGAGCAGGCAAGTCGGTTTTCTCAGATGCTAGGAGATATATGGGGTCTAATAGACCAAATCACTTCCATCTAAAACAGGGGTGGGCAATTATTTTTCCCAAGAGAGTCCGAGACTGTTGTGGAGGGCCAAACCAAAGTTTAGTGCAGCCTTTCTCAACCAGGGTGCCTTGAGGTTTCTTCAGGGGTGCCTTGAGGTTTCTTCAGGGGTGCCTTGAGGTTTCTTCAGGGGTGTCTTGGCAAAATGTCTAAAAAATTGCCCAAACTTGTATACAAGTCAGTGGGTGGATCAAGCCTGCCTTTTAGTTACACAAAGCCACAGGTTTTCATTGTGGACCATTACCACCTGCTAGCCACTGGTGTCCTGACAGCCAATGACTTCATTGGTTGATCAGGAGAATGTCAGCTGCCTGCACAGCATCCTTGTTTGACCCTCCCCTGCTGCTCTATGTCAGCACTGGGGTGACATTAGCTCAGGATGGAGAAAAACTAAGGAGAAGAGAAACCCTGGAATGCTAGTCAGTACCAGTGTGCAAAAGTGTATTTGCTTTGGAAGAATAAATCACCTCTAGTGTTCGGTGTCCTAGATGTGTGGATGTTGCTGCTATTAGAATAGTTTTTCACATTTTAGAATGGGGTGCCTCAAGACTGTCCATAATTTTAAAGGGTGCCTTGGGACTGTCCATGATTTTAAAGGGCGCCTCGGGACTGTCCACAATTTTAAAGGGCAACTTGGTACTGTCCATAATTTTAAAGGGCGCCTCAGGACTGTCCATAATTTTAAAGGGTGCCTCGAGACTGTCCATAATTTTAAAGGGTGCCTCAAGACTGTCCATAATTTTAAAGGGCACCTCAGGAATGTCCATAATTTTAAAGGCACCTCAGGAATGTCCATAATTTTAAAGGGTGCCTCAAAACTGTCCATAATTTTAAAGGGTGCCTCGGAAATGTCCATAATTTTAAAGGGTGCCTCGGGCCTGTCTATGATTTTAAAGGGCGCCTCGGAACTGTCCATGATTTTAAAGGGCGCCTCGGGACTGTCCATGATTTTAAAGGGCGCCTCGGGACTGTCCATGATTTTAAAGGGCGCCTCGGGACTGTCCATGATTTTAAAGGGCGCCTCGGGACTGTCCATGATTTTAAAGGGCTCCTCGGGACTGTCCATGATTTTAAAGGGCGCCTCGGGACTGTCCATGATTTTAAAGGGCGCCTCGGGACTGTCCATGATTTTAAAGGGCTCCTCGGGACTGTCCATGATTTTAAAGGGCGCCTCGGGACTGTCCATGATTTTAAAGGGCGCCTCGGGACTGTCCATGATTTTAAAGGGGCGCCTCGGGGCTGTCCATGATTTTAAAGGGCGCCTCGGGGCTGTCCATGATTTTAAAGGGCGCCTCGGGACTGTCCATGATTTTAAAGGGCGCCTCAGGCCTGTCCATAATTTTAAAGGGCACCTTGGGACTGTTCATAATTTTAAAGGGTGCCTCAAGACTGTCCATAATTTTAAAGGGAAAAAAGATTAAGAAACACTGGTCTAGGGTATAGTAGAAAAATATTTGGATGAACCAGCAGACAGTCAGCTTGTGATGTTAACCCATGTGTAACACCTCCCCCACCACTGCTGCCCATGCAGGACATACGGTTATGGCACTAAAAGACTTAAAATAAGCACTCGCTGACCTCTGCAGCTGCAGACACTGTGGAACAATTCATCTCCAAAGTTCACAGAAGAAGCAGCTAAACTGGTCAAAATGGAATTAACTCTAAAATTTTAAAAAAAAAAGGCTTTATATTGCTCCTTCCAGTCAACGGCTCAACTTCCTTTCAACATGAAAGTACTGTATGTAGTTCAAATTTCAAATATTAGTAGAGTAACTCTTCTTTATATAGTAACTCTTCTCTCTCATTCCAAGCAAAATCAACGTGCCATCGCTGAGTTCTTAAACAAGGAAGGATGCAGACTGTTCAAAATCCACAGAAGGCTCCAGAATGTTTACGAAGATGACACCATTGATAAGAGTCACCAGTGACAAGACATTGCCCTTCCTTCATCAAAAACTCAATGGTGACGTGTTGCTTCTGCCAGTGGTGTATTTAGGTTTTGTGCTGCCCTAGGCAACACAAAAATCAGGTGCCCCCCCATGGAGTGAGCCTAACATTGACCAACAATACCCCTGCCCAGGGGAGTATTTAGCACAAGGCAAACAAGGCATTCGCCTAGGGCGGCATTTTTCAGGGGGGCAGCACCGCCCACCGGAAGAAGGGATGGAAGAAGGGACCCCCGTGGCATGGGCACCAGGTGAGATCCAAGAGAGGCTGCGTGCTGCTTGACAGTGTATGCAGAGCCTGACTCTCAGGTAGGAAGTAGGTTGCCTTTGTTGTCAGGTGTGGGTCTGGCACAACTCTGCATCTTTGTAAGCTGACTTTGGGGGAGGAGCGAGATGCAATATGGCATGGGGACCAGTTGGGTGTCAAGAGAGGCTGCGGACCGCTTGATGGTGTATGCAGAGCCCGACTCTCGTTTCCAGGGATGTCCGGAGCTGTGAAGGCGAGTGTCTTTCTTGACAAAGGGGGGTTGTATTAGCGGAAGGCTCCTCAGGTGGGGGGGTGGGCAGGGGTGTTGTTGGTCAATGTCAGGCTCACTCCATGGGGGGGGGGGGCGCCCGCTTTTTGTGTTGCCTAGGGCAGCACAAACCTAAATACACCATTGCCCCTGCCCCCCCACCCAAGAGAGCCTTCCACTAACACATATTCCCCCTTGGAGAAAGATTCACTCACCTTCAGAGCTCCGGACATCCCTGGAAACGAGAGTCGGGCTCTGCATACACCATCAAGCGGTCCGCAGCCTCTCTTGACTCCCAACTGGTCCCCATGCCATATTGCTTCTTGCTCCTCCCCAAAGTCAGCTTACAAAGATGCAGAGTTGTGCCAGACCCACACCTGACAACAAAGGCAACCTACTTCTGCTATCAGACCCCAAAAATCAATGAGAATTTCATCCTCGTTGCACGCCGAATTGGTTCATTAAGGGTTTTCATCCAACCATTTATGCCAATTACACCAAGATCCATTGTGAAATTAGTGTAGAAAAGATTGATTCTGATTCTGTGACAAATTTATCAAGCGTGTTTTATTTTACAACGTGATCACCAGGAAAAAAAAAACAAGAAAACCTTGGCTCCATCCGTAGAACTTTCCGCTATAATGGAACAAATACGGCACAGAAGATTTGTGATGATAAGCATTCCATTACATAAATTAGCATTCATTTAGAAAGAAAAATAAGACTGATTTTGATAAACGACCCGGTTAGTCTTCCAGGTACGGAGCCAGGAAGACGGCTGAAGTGCCGATCGAGGTTTCCACAATGGGCCAAGGCTTTGTGCCCGCGGTGCTGATACCGGGCTGACTGCAAATACCAACACCACGGCCTGTCTACACTTATGGTAGTACTTCGCTTAACACGTGGAGCACAATAAAATAACCAATCACTAGTAAACTGAAAAAAAATTTAAAAAACCAAAGTGTGATGTATCAATGGGAAATCTAAGCCTCCCCATTACATCAGAACTCCCTCCACCATCACATCAGAGGTCCCCCCTTCAAATTTGATGTCCCCATCACATTAGAGGTCCCCCATTACATCAGAAGTCTCCCCTTCAAATTAGAGTTCCCCCATCATGACATCAGAGGTCCCCCATCAGAAGTACATCAGAGGTTCCCCATTACATTAAATCAGAAGTCTCCCCTTCAAATTAGAGTTCCCCCCCCATCAGATCCCCATTAGAGGTCCCCATCACATCAGAGGTCCCCATCACATCAGAGGTCCCCATTACATCAGAGGTTCCCCATTACATCAGAAGTATCCCTTTCAAATTAGAGTTCCCCCCATCACATTAGAGATCCCCATTACATCAGAGGTCCCCATTTCAGAGGTCCCCATCACATCAGAGGTTCCCCATTAAATCAGAAGTCTCCCTTTCAAATTAGAGTTCCCCCCATCACATTAGAGATCCCCATCACATCAGAGGTCCCCATGACATCAAAGGTCCCCATTACATCAGAGGTTCCCCCATTAAATCAGAAGTCTCCCCTTCAAATTAGAGTTTCCCCCATCACATCAGAGGTCCCCATTACATCAGAGGTCCCCATTACATCAGAGGTTCCCCATTAAATCAGAAGTCTCCCTTTCAAATTAGAGTTCCCCCCCCCCATCACATTAGAGGTCCCCATTACATCAGAGGTTCCCCATTAAATCAGAAGTCTCCCTTTCAAATTGGAGTTCCCCCCCCATCACATTAGAGGTCCCCATTACATCAAAGGTCCCATTACATCAGAGGTCCCCATTACATCAGAGGTTCCCCATTAAATCAGAAGTCTCCCCTTCAAATTAGAGTTCCCCCCCCATCACATCAGAGGTCCCCCATTACATCAGAGGTCCCCATTACATCAGAGGTTCCCCATTACATCAGAGGTTCCCCATTACATCAGAAGTCTCCCTTTCAAATTGGAGTGCCCCCCATTACATCCCATTAGAGGTCCCCATTACATCAGAGGTTCCCCATTAAATCAAAGGTCTCCCCTTCAAATTCCCCCCATCATTAGAGGTCCCCATTACATCAGAGGTTCCCTGTTAAATCAGAAGTCTCCCCTTCAAATTAGAGTTCCCCCCCAATTCATCACATTAGAGATCTCCATCACATCAGAGGTCCCCATTACATCAGAGGTTCCCCATTAAATCAGAAGTCCCCTTTACATCAAATTGAGTTCCCCCCTTCAAATTAGAGTTCCCCATCACATTAGAGGTCCCCTTTACATTCAGAGGTCCCTTTACATTAGAGGTCCCCCCATTACATCAGAGGTCACCCATTACATCGGAGGTCCTACCTTCACATTATCGTTCTATCCTTCACATTGAAGGTCTCAATTATCAAAGAGGACCCCCCCACCTTCACACCAAAGGTCAATCCTTCACATTAGAAGTCCCCCCAGTTCACATTAGAGGTCCCCAACATATCACAGGTTCCTCCTTCACATTAGAAGATTCCCTTTCACACCAAAGACCCTCCAAGACATCTTAGGCTCCCTATACATAACAGCTTCACCACATAACATCAGCGTCTCCCACGCTCCTCTCATCACATCAAAAGGTACACAGTCCCGCATCAAAGCCCCCTAAGCACACAGTCACTCCAACACAGAGCCCCCCAATCACACAGTCCCCTCTTCAAATCAGAGCCCTACTCTTTGGCTGTAGCAGTGAGGCAGAGGATGGGAGGAAGAGGAGGTCTGGAGAAGGTGGCGGGGAGGTCTGGAGGAGATAGCAGAGGAGCTCTGAGGGGGGTGGTGCAGCAGCTCTGGAGGAGGTGGCGGAAGAGGTCTGGAGGAGGTGGCGGAGGAGCTCTGGATAGGGTGGCAAAGGAGTCTGGAGGGGGTGGCAGAGGAGAAATAGATGAGGTGGCAAGAGAGTCTGGAGGAGAGGTGGCAGAGGAACTCTGGAGGAGGTGGCAAAGGAGCTCTGGAAGGGGTGGCAGAGGAGCTCTGGATGAGGTGGCAGAGGAGCTCTGGGGAGGTGGCGGAGGAGCTTTGGAGAAAGTAGCAGAAGAGCCTGGAGGAGGTGGTGGAGGAGCTTGGGAGGAAGTGGCAGAAGAGTCTGGAGGAGGTGGCGGAGGAGCTCTGGAGGAGGTGGCGGAGGAGCTTTGGAGAAAGTAGCAGAAGAGCCTGAGGAGGTGGTGGAGGAGCTTGGGAGGAAGTGGCAGAAGAGTCTGGAGGAGGTGGCCGAGAAGCTTTGGAGGAGGTGGCGGAAGAGCTCTGGAGGGGGTGGCGGGAAGAGCTCTGGAGGGGCCGGCGGAAGGTGGAGCTCTGGAGGGGCCGGCGGAAGAGCTCTGGAGGGGCCGGCGGAAGAGCTCTGGAGGGGGCCGGCGGAAGAGCTCTGGAGGAGGGGCGGCGGAAGAGCTCTGGAGGGGCCGGCGGAAGAGCTCTGGAGGGGGTGGCAGAAGAGCTCTGGAGGGGGTAGCAGTGAGAGGAGCTCTGGAGGAAGTGGCAGAAGAGGTCTGGAGGAAGTGGCGGAAGAGGTCTGGAGGAAGTGGCGGCGCAGGGCTGGAGGAAGTGGCGGAGCAGGGCTGGAGGAAGTGGCGGAGCAGGGCTGGAGGAAGTGGCGGAGCAGGGCTGGAGGAAGTGGCGGAGCAGGTCTGGAGGAGGTGGCAAAGGAGCTCTGCAGGAGGTGGTGAAGGAGCTCTGGATGAGGTGGCGGATCAGGTCTGGAGGAGGTGGGTGACGGAGGAGGTGGCGGAGGAGGTGGCGGAGGAGGTGATGGAGCAGGTCTGGAGGAGGTGGTGGAGCAGGTCTGATGGAGGTGGCAGAGCAGGTCTGATGGAGGTGGCAGAGCAGGTCTGATGGAGGTGGCAGAGCAGGTCTGGAGGAGGTAGCAGAGCAGGTCTGGAGGAGGTGGCAGAGCAGGTCTAGAAGAGATGGTTGGGCACGTTTGGAGAAGGTAATGGAGGAGGGACTAGAAAGGTGTTGGAGCAGGTTTAGAGGCGGTAGAATTCTATCTTCTCATGAATGCTGCCCTGGATCACTGTCATGCATTGCCATGGTATGGGTGAGATGGCCATTAACACCATAGCAATGAACGGCATCTGACTAGAGCATCATTGGCTGTTATGGTTCTGACGGCCAGCCCAACTGCACCATATCAATACATGACCCTAATCCTGGGCAAACTGGGGTCCTGTGATCGCAGCACCCTGGATGAGAACCCTGCACTATACTGTAGACGTATGGGCTGGAAAGAAACAAGACTTCATGAGAATAGCTATAAGGATGAGGCTACATATGCCAGTTTGTTGAGCCAAATGTAATGGAATACCAGTATGGTAGTGCAACCTTTCAATGCCTCAAGTAAAGCATTTTTTGTGGCTGTAGCAGCGTACCTTTTTTGCTGCTGATAGTTTGTATCTTCCATCCAAGAACCTTATTATATTTTTATATTTTACATTACAAGTAAAGCAGCACAAGGAGTGAGACTCAGGGAGGAGGCAGAGCCAGTAACTCTAGTGGTGACCAATAGGATGACTATAGAATAAAAGTGTAACGGAACTGGACCCCGACTGCACTGGGGTATTTCCGTTGGACTCCCGCTTCCCTGTCCGAACACAGATCCCCGGACACCACCGCTTACCATACGAGGCTAGACCAGACCAGTCTTCAAGGAAACCAGGAAATAGACTCCTCTATTTTAACCTCAAACAGGCCATTTATACAATAAACACTGAGACTGATCACATGATCATATGCAAACGCAGCTATATACAGAAATAGACTTAACATTCTAAACAGTAAGTCAATTAGGTCAGCTAGCTGGGTGATCCAAACAAAAGGTGAATGGGAATTCACACCTAGACAATGGTTGGATGAATTAGGATCTCACTACAGAGCAGACGGTCCAGCTCCTTCAATTCACATGTCTATGTCAGGGATCTCCACGATCCCCGCAGCGATGGTCCCGGCGCAGGCGCAGTGCGCCGCCCTGTGCAGGGACACGGGCACTAGGTCCGGGCCGGCCGCGGCGTTCAAGTTCGCGCATGCGCAGTAGAAGCCGCGGCCGCCCGCTGGGCACCAATGGCAGTGCAGGGCGGGATATTTAAATGGCCCTGAGCTGTCATTCAGTGCCTTCTGGTCTTACCTGCATCCTGTATCCTGCGAACCTGTGCCCTGTAAGTTTTTGACCCGGATTGTACCTGACCTTGCTATATTCTCCTGTCCTGACCCTTGCTTTGCCTGACCTCTCTCCTGGATGCCCCCTATTGGATTTGACCTGCTGTTGCTGACCTGGCGTGTGACCCGACTATTCTCTGCCCACTGCCTTGTACCATACCGTCCTCTCTGTTACCGACCCGGCCTGTCTGACCTTGCTCATCCATCCATCCCTCGCAGTGGGGTCTTCAGACCTCCTCATATCAGACTCTTTCCCGTGGGAGCCCTCGGCGCATACCACTACCACTGATGGACGTACCCAGTAGCCACAACCTGGTCTCGGGGTGCTCCAAGTCCATCCCCACCATCAGGGGCCCTGGTGAACAAGCACTCTGGGACTTAGATTCCGTGCGCTGGGTACGTCTATTCAGTGGAGTGCTAGTGGTACCGCCGGGCGGTCCCTTACAGTCTAGTTCAGAATCAACAACCAGGAACAGTCTTCATACAGCTGATAAATATTACGGTCACATCTGAAGTCATTCCAACCGCATTCTCAGCGTCCATTAGTCACCATGTGCTCCTAAGAGACACAGGGTGACTTACACATAATAGGGATATGGGGAGCTGAGACAGGGGTCTCCCCACCTCTCCAAAGTGAGCTGTGCCATTGGCCCCCCACCCAAAGTCACTCCCGTCACAAAAAGGCACCCAGTTCTTCTTCCCATTAACCCCCCCCAAATGAGGCGTTGTATAAGATGGCGTGATAAAACCCGCATCCCCAGCCACTCCGAAGTTGTTCCAAATTACTCAGCATATTGCTTACATAAATTCATTTCTCTCCACGTTGTTCTGCATACATTACCACCAAAATGAGTTGCAAGAATGCAGCGGGTTCACTAATTTACAAGCAGAAAAAAAAAACAAAACTGAATGCGATTATTGGTTTTACGGCTGCTCATACTCGCCGTGGCATCGGAGAGGCGGTTCCCCTCTAAACCTTATTAAGAACTAATTATCTCGTTTATGCGAGCGGCGAAAAATTATCGTCCACTCCGAGCGGCAAATATTGTGTGTGTGGAAAATGCTTCTGGATGAGCAGACACACGCAGGATAGGCAGTTTGTGAGCCGAGGAGGATCGGGAGGGGACAATGGCAGATCCACAATGAGGGATGCTTAGCGCTCCTTATCCATCATGGTGACTAATAGGAGGTGTACCTGCCCACCGAGCCACATATTCATATCATTAAAAGGATCTCTATATAGACATAGTTGTCAAAAAGATTTCTGCGCAAACCAACGTGAAAACCCACTCACCAATCAATTGTCTTAATATTTGCGATTGCAGCTATCACTGACTATCACTTAGGATGTAACGCCCCCGGTAATTAGAATCCTGACCACCAGAAGACGAGGTGGCAGCTGAAGACGTACCCCTGCCAGCCCCTGGCATAATGTTCCTGACAGCGCTAACAATTATGGATCCTTCACATCAATTAGATACTTATACACTATATTGCCAAAAGTATTGGGCCGCCTACCTTTCCACGCACAGGAACCTTAATGGCCCCCCAGTCTTAGTCCGTAGGGTTCAATAATGAGTTGGCCCCGCCCTTTCCACGCACAGGAACCTTAATGGCCTCCCAGTCTTAGTCCATAGGGTTCAATATTGAGTTGGCCCCGCCCTTTCCACGCACATGACCTTTAATGGCCTCCCAGTCTTAGTCCATAGGGTTCAATATTGAGTTGGCCCCGCCCCTTCCCACACACATGACCTTTAATGGCCCCCGTCACTTAGTCCATAGGATTCAATATTGAGTTGGCCCCGACCTTTAGTAGTACGTAGGGTTCAATATTGAGTTGGCCCCGCCCTTTGCAGCTATAAAACAGCTTCATCTCTTCTGGGAAGGCCACCCACAAGGTTTAGGAGGGTGTCTATGGGAAGGTTGGACCATTCTTCCAGAAGCACATTTGTCAGGTCAGGCACTGATGTCGGGGGAGGAGGCCTGGCTCGCAGTCTCCGCTCTAATTCATCCCAAAGGTGTTCTATGGGGTTGAGGTCAGGACTCTGTGCAGGACAGTCAAGTTCCTCCACCCCAAACTGGCTCCTCCATGTCTTTATGGACCTTGTTTTGTGCACTGGTGGGCAGTCATGTTGGAACAGGAAGGGGCCATCCCCAAACTCTTCCCACAAAGTTGGGAGCATGAAATTGTCCAAAATGTGATCTTCACTGGAACTAGGGGGCCAAGCCCAACCCCTGAAAAACCCCACACCATAATCCCCCCTCCACCAAACTTTACACTTGGCACAATGCAGTCAGGCAGTACCGTTCTCCTGGCCACCGCCAAACCCAGACACGTCCATTGGATTGCCAGACAGAGAAGGGTGATTGGTCCCTCCAGAGAACACGCCTCCCCTGCTCTAGAGTCCAGTGGTGGTGTGCTTTACACCACGGCATCCGACGCTTTGCATTGCACTTGGTGATGGAAGGCTTGGATGCAGCTGCTCGGCCATGGAAACCCATTCCATGAAGCTCTCTACGCACTGTTGTTGTTGGGCTCATCTGAAGGCCACACCAAGTTTGGAGGTCTTTAGCTATTGACTCTGCAGACAGTTGGCGACTTCTGCGCACTGTGCGCTGCAGCATGCGCTGACCCCGCCCTGTCATGTGACGTGGCCTACCACTTGGTGGCTGTGTTGCTGCTGTTCCCAGTTGCTTCCACTGTGTTATAATCCCACTAACAGTTGAGCGTGGAATATTTAGTAGCCAGGAAATGTCACGGATGGACTTATTGCCCAGGTGGCCACCTATCACGGGACCACGCTTGGAGTCACTGAGCTCCTGAGAGCGACCCATTCTTTCACCAATGTTTGTAGAAGCAGTCTGCATGCCTAGGGAATTGATTGTATACACCTGTGTCCATGGAGGGGATTGGAACACCTGAATCACATGATTGGGAGGGGATTGGAACACCTGAATCACATGATTGGGAGGGGATTGGAACACCTGAATCACATGATTGGGAGGGGATTGGAACACTTGAATCACATGATTGGGAGGGATTGGAACACTTGAATCACATGATTGGGAGGGGATTGGAACACCTGAATCACATGATTGGGAGGGGATTGGAACACTGAATCACATGATTGGGAGGGGATTGGAACACCTGAATCACATGATTGGGAGGGGATTGGAACACCTGAATCACATGATTGGGAGGGGATTGGAACACCTGAATCACATGATTGGGAGGGGATTGGAACACCTGAATCACATGATTGGGAGGGGATTGGAACACCTGAATCACATGATTGGGAGGGGATTGGAACACTGAATCACATGATTGGGAGGGGATTGGAACACCTGAATCACATGATTGGGAGGGGATTGGAACACCTGAATCACATGATTGGGAGGGGATTGGAACACCTGAATCACATGATTGGGAGGGGATTGGAACACTTGAATCACATGATTGGGAGGGGATTGGAACACCTGAATCACATGATTGGGAGGGGATTGGAACACCTGAATCACATGATTGGGAGGGGATTGGAACACTTGAATCACATGATTTGGAGGGTTGGCTCAATACTTTTGGCAATATAGTGCATATATATTGGTCAATGGAGCAGAGTTGAGCGCATGTAATGAATGGTGGGAACACTCACCTGGGGGACGGAACAAGCAGTGGATGGTGCATTTTGGCTATACCCATGAAGGTGTTTGCTTTGGGACATTATTATTGTGTATTTGATGTACGTATTGTGTTTATTTTTTATATTATTTTTTTTAATTTGTACTTTTGTCCGATTTTTTTTTTTTTTTGGAAGTGCCCCTATCTATAGAGATGTGCTGTCATATTATCTATGGTGGGGATTTAAGGCTGTTGTTCCATTTGCAGCAGAACCTCTCCGGGATGTAACGCCTGGTAATTAGAATCCTGACCAGCAGAAGATGAGGTGGCAGCTGAAGACGTACCCCTGCCAGCCCCTGGCATGATGTTCCTGACAGCGCCGACACTAACAATTATGGATCCTTCACCGCGCCTTTATATGAGAGGAGGAAGTGACACCCTAGGCTGGCACCTGGGCTTTCCTCCTGCCAATCACGCGCTCCCAACCATCGCGGTAATCAGTGTCATGCGGCGTAGAACGCCAGGGTTCTGGGCACAGAAGGACAGCTTTGGCTGGAAGCAGATTCTAATTTATCTTTGACTATCTGAGAGAGGGAAAAAAAAAAGGCGTTGGGAGCCTGCAGCTGTGTAAGCTGGTTAAAGGAGAACTCCGCTGTCTGAGCATCTAAACATTCAAACGCATGGGCAAAGCACGCCTCGGCTTTAGGAGTTAAAGTGGAACTAAACGCTCTCAGTCAACATGAACTGTCTTTAATTCTTATGCTGCCGGCATTAGTAACCAGATAAGAAGGTTTATTACATTTACTTGTTTTAAACTTTTTTTTTCTACATTTCTTCAGCTGCTTCCTGGTTTCTGGCCTAGGCTAAAATGATGTCATACATCCAGGGCTTTTTCTTCCCTCAGAGAATAGGCGCAGGTACTCCCCACTTCTGAGTCATCCCTTGTCACACTACCCACCACTGAGCAGAATTCCCTGCAGCCATCAACAGGAGACTCCCCACAAGCAACATTAGACTCCACCCCCAAAAACAAAATACGCCCAGCAACAATAGACCCCCACAAGCAACATTAGACCCCCCCCACAGAAACAAAATACGCCCAGCAACAATAGACCCCCCACAAGCAACATTAGACCCCCCCCCAGAAACAAAATACTCCCAACAACAATAGAACCCCCACAAGCAACATTAGACCCCCCCCCCAGAAACAAAATACTCCCAGCAACAATAGACCCCTGCCAGAAAGACAACCGTAAGATCTCCCAACAGCCAGCATCAATAGATCCTCTAGCAGCCAGTAACAGTAGTAGCAACACCCCCCCCCCAGCAACAAATAGCAACCCCCCCCAGAAACAAAATACTCCCAACAACAAATAGTAAACCCCCACAAGCAACAGTAACAGTAGACACCCCCCCCAGAGAAACAAAATACTCCCAACAACAATAGGCCCCTGCCAGAAAGACAACAGTAAGATCTCCCAACAGCCAGCATCAATAGATCCTCTAGCAGCCAGTAACAGTAGACACCCCCAGCAACAATAGTTCCCCCAGCAACAATAGACCCATAACAGCCATAGACCCCTGCAAGAAACAATACAGCCAAATTTCCCAACAGCCAGCATCAATAGATCTTCTAGCAACCAGCAACAGTAGGCCCCCAAGTTACAATAGATCCCCCAGCAACAATAGACCCTTAAAAGCAATAGGCCCCTACCAGAAACAATACAGTAAAATCTCCCAACAGCCATCATCAATAGATCCTCTAGAAGCCAGCAACAGCAGACCTTCCAAACCTACAATAGATACCCCAGCAACAACAGACCACCCCGCAGCAATAGATCCCAGCAACAATAGACCCCTAAGCAACAGTCCCAAGGCACCCTTTAAAACTATGGACAGTCCCGAGGCACCCTTTAGAACTATGGACAGCCCCGAGGCACCCTTTAGAATTAAAACTATGGACAGCCCCGAGGCACCCCATTCTAAAATAGGGGTGTCTGAAGACTATCCACAATTTTAAAAGGGCACCTCATTCTAAAATGTGAAAAACTTGGACTTATTCTTCCAAAGCAAATACACTTTTGCACACTGGTACTGACTAGTATTCCCATGTTTCTCTTCTCCCTCAGTTCTTGTCCATCACTGAGCTACTGTGACCCCAGCACTGATGGAGGGGACAGGGAAGGGTCAAACTAGGATGTTGTGAATGCAGCCGACATCCTCCTTATCAACTGATGTCATTGGCTGTCAGGACGCCGGCGGCTAGAAGGTTCAAAATGGTGCACAATGAAAACCTGTGGTTTTGTGTAACGAAAAGGCGGGCTTATTCCACCCGCTGGCTTGTATATAACTTTTGGTAAATTTTTAGACATTTTGCCAAGGCAGCCTCTGGGCACCCTGGTTGAGAAAGGCTGGTGTAGAGGAGAGGCAGCAACAGCGGCTGCAGAGCCTGGGCGCTGATGATACCCATAGGCAGCCGTTGTCACCTGTCCCTGCTGTACACTGAAGCTGATGCTGGGACCTGATCATGTGACCAAATCGGAGCGACTTCAGAATTGGTCAGTACAGACATCTTTTCTTTTACAGGGTAGATAGAATAGTCTTAGAATGGGGGTGGGGGTAGATTTAGCCTTAAAGTGGAGTTCCAGTTGAATCAGTGATGGGGAAAAGATCAACTGCAGGGAGCCCACAGGCAATACTGCTGACAAGTCCTTTGACTTCTGCTTGCCTTCTTTAGTTTCAGTGTCCATAGTACAGGTCTTCTTAGGACATTTATTTATACAGTTCTATGTATCTCCGCTCCTCACAAGACCTCCTAACTCTCTGGTTCCCTGGTCCCCTCCTCCCATGCCCGTCTCCAGGGCTTCCCCCATCCTCTGGAACTCCCTACCCCAATCCATCAGGCTATCACCTACTCTCCTCACCTTTAGGCGCACCCTGAAAACCTATCTCTTCAGGGAAGCTTACCCCGCCCTCAGCTAATTACTGAACTCCTCCACTCTTCCTACCACTCCATCCCCCACAGATATTTCCTCCTGTGCCACTATCCCCTCCCTCCTAGACTGTAAGCTCCAAGGTGCAGGGCCCTCGAACCCTTGTGTATTGAATTGTATTGTTACTGTACTGTCTCCCATTATAATGTACAGCGCTCAGCAAACTATTGCCGCTATATAAATTCTGTATAATAATAATAATTACTGCTAAAAAATGGATAGGCCTGGAGAAAATGGTGGAAGAATGATATTGGAGCTCAATAGAGGAGCATGGTGAGGTGTTCCTCAATGTAAGGTGGTTTCCAAAGCCGCTGCTAGCTTTTTTTTTAGGCCGATTCGGAGAATACAAAAATACATCACAAGAAACAATCCTATTTCCTTTAACCTCCCTGGCGGTATGATTATGTCAGGAATTTTGTGCTGAAAGCGGTACATTTTTTTGCATGGAAATATGTAGTTTTTTTTTATCGTAGGCCTGTAATTTTTAGGAATAACTCACTGAAATCTATCCGAAAAAGAGTCTATTAAACATTCCGGATATGATAAAACTTGAAACACGAAATCATAAATTATAATTTAATAAATAATCATAAAAAATAATAATATAATAATAATAAATTTAATTCAATAATATAATCAAACCAAAAACACTGAAATTTGAAATACAGAGGCAAATTCGCACATCGCTGAGCAAAGTCGCAAAATCGTTTTCAGTGTCTGATGACGAATTTCCCCCACAAATCATTATCACTCAATTCTGCAAGTGGTTCTGATTTACTATCGCTGTTCTCTAGCTGTTCTAAAACCGCTTTTGACGTAAAGGGACGCTTTTTGGCCGCCATGGACTTTTCTACGTTTCCAGGCAGAAAGAACATTCAAAATGCAGGCAGGGAGCCGGACAAAGCAGTGGGGACAAAATGTATGTGAAATGCAGTGAAAAAGCAATGACAGCAAAAATGTCATTTTTTTAAAAATTTCCCGCCGGTTCCGACGTCACAGGGACCGGAACACGGAAGCCAGATGCCGGCATCCGCCGGAGGAGATGGACGGGGACGCTGCAGGGGACCCATCGTGGGAGCAAAGGACAAGGTAAGTGCTGCAGGGACCCCCAGAGAACGCTGCATGGTAAGCCCGAGTGTAGCTCGGGGTTACCGTTCTTGGTATAGAAATTCTACCCCGAGCTACACTCGGGAAAACCGCCAAGGAGGTTAAAAGGAAAGCAATTCCTTACTGTCCCCTACCGCAACCAGAAATCCATGGCTCAGGCAAGACAGAAGTCTGATGTCTCTTTACAATAGTAGTAGTGGGCGTTGACTCGGGATATGGTTACAAATTCCCATCCCGGCACATCCAGACAGATGTGAAGGGTTAATTACATCTGATAATAATCAGAATGTGTTATATTGAGCACATGGAAGATTTAAATCAGCAACGGAGCAGCTGTATAGAGAACACTCATAAAAGATTACCAAGCCAGGTGGTCGCGGAACGCATCGAGTACATAATATGCATCTACAGACGACACTCTTGTGCTCTTCAGCGGCTGTGCGAGCTGATGGAGGAGTCTGAAAAGTTTAGAAAATGTTATGAATAAGTAAACAGAGCTTCGACTTCTGAGCTTTACAGAGGAAGAGCGCGTTCTTTAAACAACCACCAATTACAGGTCTCGGTGGAAGAGATCTGAGACCGAGGGGTGCCTTGGGTGAGATACTTAGAACACTTTCATTTATGTATTTGATGTACTCATCAGGAATACTAAAGCTGAACATTTAAGGGTCGATGACTATTTTTGAAATAATCGCCATAGTTCTGCAACTTCTCACTGTAATGAGCCCCAACCGCTGCTGTAAAACAAGAATCAAAAGTCTGATAAAAAAAACAGAATTTTGAAGATGTGTCCTGTAGGTCAAACCAATATGTCTTTTCAAACAATGTGCACCTTATTGCAGCCTTGATTTAAGTTCATGAGTAGAATGAGAAGGACTAAAAATGGGCAAGCATAAGGACTTGAGTGACTTTGACAAGAACCAAATTGTA